ATGAAAGAGAAATGTGTTATTGAATTTCTCACTGCCGAACAAATTGTACCCATTGACATCCATCGACACTTGCTAAAGGTGTACAGAGACAATACAGTGGATGTCAGCACAGTGATTCGGTGGGTAGTGTGTTTCAACAGTGGTGAAAGTGAAGTGCACGACAAGCCATGCCATGGGTGTCCCTGCTCAGCTGCCACTCCTCACAATGAACAGTGCCTCATCCAAACAGATCAGCAGATAACGACCAGGGACTATCAATTCTGAACGCTACAAGACGACGCTGACTAAGCTGAAAGCCCGTATTTCCCGAGTCAAGCCAGAGAAGCAGACAACCTTTCGCTTGCAACACGATAACGCTAGACCCCATACCAGTTTGGCGACTACCGCGCACATTGCAAAGTTTGGCTGGACTGTCCTACCACATCCACCTTATAGCCCCGATTTAGCACCTTCAGACTTCCATCTCTTTGGGCCTATGAAAGACGGACTACATGGGCAACATTTTCCAGACAACGATGCTGTCATTGCAGCTGTAAGAAAGTGGCTAGCCTCTGCTGGCACAGACTTTTACAGGTGCGGCATGCAGGCTCTTGTTCATCGATGGCAAAAGTGCATAACGAATGGTGGTGATTATGTGGAAAAATAGCTGTAAGTAGCTGAAATCTTGCTCTATTTAACTGCGTTATTATGATTTCTGTATCTGTTGTAGTTTTCTTTAAAAAAAATAGGAGGCATTATATATGGAACGCCCTTAGTACAAACAGTGTATATATATATATATGTATTTTAGAAATCAAAACACCCAATGTAATAGTAGTTTCTAAAAGTATTGATGTTCTCTCTGATGATGGTCTATACGGACCAAAACATGTAAGGGTGCTAAGAAGTGAAGTAAAAAAGCTTCAAGAGTCACACTGGACGGAATTGTTTTACCATTTGTAATTAATTACAAGTATTACTTTATCCTGATTCTCCACTGCTGTACTTGGGAAAGTATCACATAAATGCAGTCTAATGTATATCAACTATATGACCGTTAACAAAAATGCATTTTCATAACGCAGAGAATTTAGTCGAGTGATGCAGTGAAAGGGAAAGAAACATTATTCCTTCATGTGTCATACTCGTACTATTCAGTAATGGATGCTTGTTTGACTTAGCAGAACATCACACCAACAGGATTAAAGAAACATTTCTCTGAATGACATCTGCAAGGAAACAAAGAACTTCATGAATGTCTACATATCTCCAAGGATCTACACTGAAACACTTCACACGTTGTACCCTTGCTATAACTGACTGAGACACATCAATTAATATTAATAACTGTGATAACATGACACCCAGAGACAACTCAATCATCATCTAGTGATAATGACAGTACAGTACATTAACATAACTTCTTAAATGACATGACACAAAATGACATTTTATTTCCACATGTATTTGATAAAATTTTCCAGCTTCACTCATCTGTTTAAATGCTATCACAGAAATAAAATTAGAAGTACATAAAAATATGTATAAAAACTGCTTCAAAGCCAACACTATCAGTGTTGCATCTAAAAATCAGAAATGTGCTGGTTTCTAGGTAAAGCCTTGTCACTGAATGTGACAAACATTAATAACAATAACAACAACAACAACAATATACATATTCATACTAAGGTAGTACTGAAGTAGTATCAAAAAGGAACAGAATTTACTAATATGAACATTCAAGTACTGTCCAGCTGTAGTAACTGATAGTTTTAGCGGCCTCTGTAGTCTAGGGGTAACGTTCCTACCTCGTGACTCAAGGTACGCGGGGTAACGTTCCTACCTCGTGACTCAAGGTACGCGGGTTCAAACCTGGCGGAGGTTGTGGAATTTTTAAGGGCGGAAAAATTCAGGGAACAAGTCCTCCAGGATGGACTTTAAGCCGTGGGTCCCGTGTCATAGCTTTACAGCACGTAAAAGAACCTCATGTCCCAAGGGGACCACTAAGCAAAATTCAGGACATTTCCCACCCAACAGTAGTCTCTAACGCCTCTGGTAGATGGGGGAAGCATCGAGATACCACTGAGCCAGTAGAGGCCGAACTCGCTGGCTGAGTCGGGAATGATGGTATGCACCAGTACCGGTAGGGAATAGAGACTGGTAGAATATCATAGAGGGACGCACAATGGACCAACAGATCGTCTAAGTGTATGGGGAAACCCACCCTCTCCAATACAATACAATAACTGATAGTTTTGGAATTGTTAATCCTTTAAAGACTGAATTTACTGTAAATAATATAAAAAATTAGGTTCATAACTTACAGGACACACATTACATCTCTGCTACAAAGATCAACTGGTTAATGCTGTTTACAGAAAAAATCTCTGTTTTTCTGAGATTCATATGAAATATACAAATTCACTCTGTAATCAGAATGCAGAGTTTTTAATATATTAAAGTAGGAGGTACATATTGAACCAAAGAAAGAGTGAGAAAATACATTTTTGGGCAAACCTATAAAAAATATGTAAGAGTGAAACAAAATACAAATCCGTTCAAAGCCAGTAATATATGACTGACCTAGCTTTTGTTACTTTGGAAATTCAATCAACAGTTACTCAGCAGACCACTGCTGGTTGCTAAATACTGAACAATGATGAAATTGATCCGATCAGTGAAGCAGGTTTTGAGAAAATTGACATTTAACATTCGGGCTCCTAGTGCATATATTATCTTCCTGGAGATACTCCATGTGGTTTTATTTGGCGCAGTGGCCTTCACATACCTCAAAAATTTAATCAAAACTGTTTGAGACATATTTGAGAAAGTCAACATTTTGTGTTCTGGGGCACATCTGAAGGGCCCTATTTTTTGAGTTGGTATGATCAACTTCACCAGCTACTGACCTAGAATGATAAATTCTTGAATAATGAATAAAAGGTAAAAGATAAAGCTATCCCTGTAGCAAGTCACGAAGACCCATAGGGTTGTGAGATGTTGAGGCTCCCACATTTTCCTTAGACAATCAGCTTACAGATGGCAGTAAGGTTATCAGCCTTACACACTGGCCAACCTTTACCTCCCCAGGAAGATTCCTGGCACCAATTTCTGTTAGAGGCTGAGTCGACCCTGGGGCCATAGTGTGGCTGGAAGGATTAGGTCAATTTAGAAAAATCTGCCTCATTGGTACTCGAACCTGTGACCTTCCAGCTTGTAGCATACTGCCTCAACCAACTATGCTACTGTGTGCCCACTTGAATATGAATAAAATTCATCCAGTCACTTGGACACTAGTGAATTGCACATCCATACAGACAGATGACATTTATTTACTTACTTACTTACTCATGAAGCTGAGCCCTTCTTGAGGAGCCACCAATTCTGCAGCTACTCAAGAAATTCCCAGCATTTTATGGAACCCGAAGGTTCATTACCGTGTTCACAAGAGCCCTCCACCGGTCCCTATCCTGAGTCAGATCAATACAATCCATACAATCCCATCCTATCTCACTACGATCAATTTTAATACTGTCCATCCACCTATATCTTGGTCTTTCAAGTGGTCTCTCTCTTTCTAGCTTTCCCGCCAATATCCTATATGCATTCTTATTCTCTCCCATTCGTGCTACATGCCCTGCCCACCTCATCCTCCTTGACTTGATCATTCTAATTATACTTGGAGAAGAGTACAAGTTATGAAGCTCCTCATTATGCAGCTGTCTCCATTNTGTTCACAAGAGCCCTCCACCGGTCCCTATCCTGAGTCAGATCAATACAATCCATACAATCCCATCCTATCTCACTACGATCAATTTTAATACTGTCCATCCACCTATATCTTGGTCTTTCAAGTGGTCTCTCTCTTTCTAGCTTTCCCGCCAATATCCTATATGCATTCTTATTCTCTCCCATTCGTGCTACATGCCCTGCCCACCTCATCCTCCTTGACTTGATCATTCTAATTATACTTGGAGAAGAGTACAAGTTATGAAGCTCCTCATTATGCAGCTGTCTCCATTCTCCTGTCACTTCATCTCTCTACGGTCCAAATATTCTCAACACCCTGTTCTCAGACACGCTCAGTCTATGTTCCTCCCTTACTGTCAGAGACCAAGTTTCATACCCACACAGAACCACATGCAAAATTATAGTTTTGTATATTATAATTTTTTGTTTTTGGACAGCAGGCGAGAAGACAAAAAGTTCTGGACTGAGTGGTAGCAAGCACGGATAGATGACATACCCAAAACAATTCTGACCTGGGGGCTGAAAATGTAAATCAATCAAAATCCCAGGATTAATTTTTTTCAAGATGACAATACTTCCTCATATATTCCACATACATGTAAAAGCAAAAAGATTTCCAAACCCATGTGTGATATGTACCCTGAAAAGTTGTTATATACATATATTGAAATGCAAGAGAAGTACTGTAAATGGGACATACATGATAACGTGCTGAGTCCTTCTTTCTACCAGGTCCTCTTTTGTGAGATGTTGGATCCCCACGTTGTCCTCGTTCAAAAATATCAATGAGGCGTAGATCTAGTATATTCTCTTCTGGTTCCCATGTACTGTGCCTGGAATAGTTTTGTAATTAATATAACATTCCAACAATTGCTTCCATTATGTTCTTCACTTTGTCCACTATAAACAACAACAAAAAAAGTAAAGGTATCCCTGTAACAGGCCGTGAAGGCCCATAGGGTTGTGAGATGTTGAGGTTCCCACATTTTCTAGACAACTGGCTCAAAGATGGCGGCAAGGTTGTCAGCCTTACGCGCCAGCCGCCATTTAGCCCCCACAAGATTCCAAGAATATTTCTGGTACTCATTTCTGTTAGAGGCTGAATCGACACCAGGGCCACAGTGCAGCTGGAAGGATTAGGTAAATTGAAAAAAATCCAATGACCTCATCAGGACTTGAACCCATGACCTTCCACCTTGACTTTGTCCACTGTTCTTTATACAAATCCACACTTTGAAATGGTGGGTTCTCTTTCCATTTTCACATGGACCTGGGGATAAGAGGAGCTCTACCCAGGGGTTCAACAGAGTAGGAATTTTGTTACATCTTGTTGACCTGCAAACTACAACCCAGTTCTGATATGTGGCTTTTATTATTTAAAAAAATGGACAGGGTTTGGAAAAGTGAAATGCAACATGCATGGCACACACCACTTACATTTTTTTTTTAATTCACATAGTGGGGGGTGGAGTCCAGTTGGGTCCACCCAGCACGGTGGCCACTGATTGGCCTATTGTACCTGCACCGGGTGATTATGATGATGGAAAATTTGGTGGAATGAAGACTGGCAAGGGAAACCGAAATATCGGAGAAAACCTACCCCAGCGCCACTTTGTCCACCACAAATCCCACTTGACCAGACCCGGGTTTGAACCTGGGCCACCGCGGTGGGAAACCAGTGACTAACCGCTTGAGCTATGGCGCGGCCTCACCACTTACATTACTATGTCATAGTATCACGACACAGAAGCACTGTGCTGTCTGTGAATGTGCTAGTTTCAAAGTGAATTACACAGGGACATGATTTGAGAGCCTGTTGCAAATCATTCAGCCATTCAGGGACAAGTTCTAGATGCTACTTTGTCAGATCAGTTCATGCACGTTCAGACTCTGCAGCCTATGCACATTACGATTTCTCTTTAATATCACCCCGATAAGTTGCTGAGCAGCTAGTGAGAAGCTTATGTGATACATGCCAGCCTATTCATAAATCCCAGGCCTCATGTTGCTACTGTATTTTACCTGTGCAATACATAGTCATGATCAGTCATGAAGAGTTCTTCTGTCTTCTGGGATATGATGCCACTGCTTACCTGCTGGTTTCTTGCTCGGCTTATTCTTCGACCCCAAAGATGGAGGCGACATGTTCCTCCAAAATGACAGTAGACTTTAAATGGACTACACGGTGTTATATCCCAGAAGACAGAACTCTTCAAAACCACCACTGAGCACCTAAAAGCCTACATGATCAGTCAAGTTATATGTGTCAAAATGCCATGTAGAAGTTACACACTAANTCGAAATACTATGAGTATGCACGTAACAGTAAAATAGTTAAAGCTCTCCTTGTAACAGACCGTGAAGACCCATAGAGTTGTGGGACATAGATTCCAACATTTTCTAGACAATGGGCTCATAGATGGCGGTAAGGTTGTCAGCCCTACGCGCCGGCCACCCTTTACCCCCAAGAATATTCAAAGAATATTCCTAGTACTCATTTCTGTTAGAGGCTGAGTCGACCCCAGGACCGTAGTGCGGATGAAAGGTTTAGGTCAATTGAAAAAAATTCAACAACCTCAATGGGACTTCAACCCACGACCTTCTGGCTTGTAGCATAGTGCCTCAACCAACTACACTACTGCATGCCCCCACAGTAATGAGTGTTAGTGTTTTTAAAGTTTGCATCATGTCATGTATATACAATTAACATATACAGTTCTACCATCAATGCAACAATTCTTTATTAAAACATATATATATATATATATATACATAGTGCTATATATGTTAATGAACAATTGTTGTGCTTATGGTAGAATTTGCATCTGCATTGGGACAACAGTTTTTAGGGTCATACTAATCTCATTAAATGA